ACTGTGGTTGCCCATGTGGGAGTCCAGCGCCCTTAACCACCACGCCACCTGCCAGCCCCTCATGTTTCTTCTTTCAGAATGGGTATTCACATAAAAATGTTTATTCTAAGATCAAAATGTGAGTACTAAAGAGTTTTTACTTACAACTGTTTTCTTGCTGTGTAATTGAATAAATTTGTGACTCTATTAGCTTTTTACTTCATTGCAAATCATGCAAGCGTTTTGTTTTTATGTTCTGGGGTCTGAGTATATTTTATTCTTTTGAGTATTTTTTAAAATAATGAAGTTTTAAAATAAAATTTTAGAATACCTTTAAATTATTTTTATGTCTTGATCAATATAGACATACACTAGCTTAATGTGAAAAATTAATAGATTTTGTGTTATCAAATCTAATCGGCTATCATATTGTGTACATACCCTTCCACTCTGTATTTTTATTAACTTAGAAACATTCTTTTACATGCGTAATAAACATAAAAACCTATTTTTCTTTATTGCTATAGGGCACATTTGCTCACCTGAGAAAGAGAGGAACAAAGAGAGGAAAAGTAAGAAATCATAATCTTGGGGGGGGTGTGGATGGTGAATCCCTACTCCACCATTTTCTTCTTGAGTTTTAGGATACACATGCCCTCTTGTACAGTGTGATTTTAAAGCTGCTGGGTTTAGGATTTGAACCACATTGGCCATGTCAAGTCCAGCAACTTAACCACTATCACACCTGCTGGCCGCTCAAACTTTGATCTTATAATACCATTCCCTGAATACTAATCCACAGAGAAAAATAAGGAGATCAATTCATGGAATACTTTTGAAATAAAAAACTGAGTGATTCCACATAACTAAGTTCTCTGAAGCTGTCAAAGTCATAGAAGCAGATGACAGAATGGTGGTTGCCAGGGGGTTGCCAAATGGGCTAACAGAGTTGTTTTTATTTATTTATTTTTAAAGAATTATTCATTTTATTTTATACATTATTATTAGTAGTATTTAATTTGATGAGAGAGAGAGAGTCACCAGGTTGAGACTGCGAACTCTCAAACTGCAATCAACCATATGAGAGTCCAGCACCTTAACCATCATGCCACCTGCTGGCCTGAGAGTTGTTTTTCAATGAATATAAGGACACAGTTATCGGGACAGCTGATGGTGTGTTGGTTAAGGTGGCTGGATTGCACATGGTCGACTGCCAGTTAAAGTCCCAGATCCGGCAGCTCGAAAAAAATTCCATGCATATGTGCATGCACTCTCAACATCCTAAGAGAAGAGAGTATTGTGGAATGGCCATTCCCCATGGGGGGTGATTTCTCACTTTCCATCTTTCTCTCTGCTCTGTCCAGTGAGTGCATGTGCACAGGAGAAAAACCAAAAACAAAGCAAAAATCAATTAAAATGCTATTGCAACATTACATTTTATTCCATAAATATATGTACTATTATTTTTTGTCAAGAAATAAGTAAGTTAAAAATCCTGTAGAAGACATGATCTATGGGAATAAGGTAGTATGATAAGAAGTCCTAAGCAGTGATAGCATGATGAAAGCCTAAAGCAGATGAAATCTATACAAAAAAATAAAAAATAACTTTGTGA